ACACTGTCAGCATAGGAAAGGCCAGCATAGGAAAGTAATTATCACTGCAAATATTCTAAAGGCCAGCTAACACTGCAATATTCAAAAGGCCAATATTTAACTTCAATAATGGTTGTAAAGTCTCTGTTTCTGTTACTTTAAACAGATATGTTTTTTTTCTTCGATTTATAGCACTACTGGGTAAATATTGATAATGAAAAAGGAGATAAAACTGTCAATATTTATGCATGATCTTCTGCCATGTTTAAGAAGTTATGATCTTGTACATTAATTTACGGATGTTTATGATATTTAAAGAAGGCAGCTCTCCTAAATCTGTATTTGATTAAAATGGGTTTGTGATGAATTTCATTGTAGAAGTTAGTGATGTAATTTGTAAGTTCTATTTCCTGTTATGTTCATGATAGAATATGTTCACCATCTACTGTAAATATTTGATTGTTCAATAACTTGATGTCATGGTTCAGAACTGTTCACTATTTAGGGGAGAAGATGTGTAAGCGGCATGTTAGCTCAGTCTGTTGAGCCGCGGTACAGTTTTCAGAGGGTCCCGGGTTCGAGTCCCTGTGAGAAAAATGTGCATCCTAAGCGGGACTTGAACCTGGAACACTGGGAATACCGTACCGCGGCTCCACCAACTGAGCTATCCGGCCATCTTCTCCCCTAAATAGTGAACAGTTCTGAACCGTGATATAGAGAAAGAATAAAATAAGCCTTAAACATTTCCCATTGCAAGTAGATGACTCCTGTTGACTGTGAGGTCATTAGGTCAAAGGTCAAGGTCTTTTAGTAGAAAATCCCAATCTGCTCCTTAACCTTGAGAAGAAAAAAGCATCATTGGTAAAACTTGTTAGGGGCATTGCCAATGGCCCATTAAAGACCTTTTAAGATTCATTAGGTCATTTGATCACAGTGACACTTAGTTGGTATACCCTTGTCCACTCAATAGCTTGAGAATGGTCAAGCTTAGGTTTGTTAAACTTGGTAGATACATTGCCCATGACCAGTAAAAAGTGTAAAGTCATTGTCAAAAATGTGAGAAGGAATAAGCAAACATGAAACTTGGTAGGGACATTGCAAGTTAATGACCCCTATTGAGAATGAGGTCATTTAGTTAAAGGTCAAGGTCACAGTGACACTTGCATAAAATTCTTGTTTTATCAATAACTTGTTCAGTTGTATTCTGTTAGTTTTCATTGAGTCCTTTTACATTTTAACATTGTATATCTTACAATAGCACATACTTACTCTTGTTCCCAAGTGATTTCCCTATAATACACTTTCAAAATTTGGCATGGCTTACCTGTTTTGGCAAGTTTGATATAATACTTATGTTTTTCTACATGTACCAATGGCTTTAAACTTTTCACATTGCCAAGAATCTAGCAAGTTATATAACTGTGGTGCCTGTTTTGGTAGTTATCTCCCCTTAATGCACTTTGTCTACCTATTTTGACAAGCTTAGATATAATATATGTACACTTCAACAGAAAAGTATTTTCTTCTTTTCTTAGTTTGTCTTTTACCGTATATCCCGAGCATGTGTGTTCACAGAATTTTTTTACTGTTTCTAAAAGAAATTACCTTTAGATTTCAGCCTGCCATGATGCAGTGGGTTCCAACAGTTTAAAGGATACAAGATGCAAATATTTTTTAAGCTTTAATGGGCATTTGATATTTCTAGAATATGATTATCTCTATACTAGTTTTTTACCATAAAATACTGCTTCCTGGGTTTTACCATGATATAATATTGCTTGCTTTGCGGAGGTCTAAAAAGGTTTAAAGACCTAGTTCTTCATAGAGTAGCAAATAACAAACATCCGTGCATAATTTTGTCTATCAAATACATTACTTGCAAGAAATATGACTTAGGCAAAATATGTGCATGAGAACAAACATTCAGAATTGATTTATAGATGCCAAATGAATATTATATACCTTCTAATAACAGCCCCTACTACAATAAGTAGTCCCCTACTATAATAAGTAGTAATTATTTATAGATACCAAATGAATTAAATAACAGCCCCTACCTCAATAAGTAGAATGATTTATAGATTCAGAGTGAATATTATATACTTTCTAATAACAACCCCTATCCCAATAGGTAGATACCGAGTGAATATAATACACTTTCTAATAACAACCCCTATCCCAATAGGTAGATACCGAGTGAATATTATATACTTTCTAATAACAACCCCTATCTCAATAGGTAGATACCGAGTGAATATTATACACTTTCTGATAACAACCCCTATCTCAATAGGTAGATACCGAGTGAATATTATACACTTTCTGAAAACAACCCCTATCCCAATAGGTAGATACCGAGTGAATATTATACACTTTCTAATAACAACCTCTATCTCAATAGGTAGATACCGAGTGAATATTATACACTTTCTAATAACAACCCCTATCTCAATAGGTAGATACCGAGTGAATATTATACACTTTCTGAAAAACAACCCCTATCTCAATAGGTAGATACCGAGTGAATATTATACACTTTCTAATAACAACCCCTATCTCAATAGGCAGATACCGAGTGAATATTATACACTTTCTAATAAAACCCCTATCTCAATAGGTAGATACCGAGTGAATATTATACACTTTCTGAAAACAACCCCTATCTCAATAGGTAGATACCGAGTGAATATTATACACTTTCTAATAACAACCCCTATCTCAATAGGTAGATACCGAGTGAATATTATACACTTTCTAATAACAACCCCTATCTCAATAGGTAGATACCGAGTGAATATTATACACTTTCTAATAACAGCCCCTATCTCAATAGTTGATGCCAAATGTGCATAATATACCTTCTAATAACAGCACCTACATGTACCTCAACAAGTAGAATTGTTGGTGTTGAGTGAATATGATATAGCTTCTTAATGCTTTCTTCAGACAATAGATAAGGCAACTGTTTCTGTGAATATACTTAATATTTCTTTTGGTTTCCTTATAAGATTAAATTTTTATTGAACACCCAAGTTGAAAAGAAGTTGGACTAAAAGTTTCATTCTTTTCATTGTTAGTTACGACTAAAAGGAGTTTCAAGAACCTAGCAAACCTTTGGATGAAAGATTTTCATGTTTTTTTCTGGTAAAAGCCTATAAAAGTGTTTGCCTTAAGTGTTTGACAGTAATGGAATTTTCCTCTCATTTCACACCAAAAATCAACCAATTTCATGAAATACATGGTAATCATAGATTACATGATTGGATGGTTTCTCCGGGAAAATTCTGCTGGTTTGTTATAATGGGATACAATCCAAGATATTGATGAAGTCTGGCCTTCATTTGTATACCTACTTTATGATAATCCAAGTGCTAGTAATTAGAAATACAGTAATTACCACTTTTATTATCCCCCAAAAAATATCACAGAAAAAATATAAGAATTATTACAAAGTTTTTACAGTCGTGTAATTGTCTCCAAAACGACAATAAGAAAAAAATATTCACTAAACATGGCATTTGCCAGAGAAATCATATTGGTGAACAAAAGTGTACTTTGACATTTTCTGGAATATGCAATGAGGTTGTTTTTTTCCAAGCTTTATGCAAATGAAAACAATTGTTTGTTGTTTGCATGCATTAACAGTTGAGAATTGAGGAACAAAGGCATTGGGGTGTAATTGTATAACTAATTCCTTTTAACATGGATTTTATTCAGAATTCGCACTGCATCTAGAGGGGTTCTTAAAGTTTGCAAAATAGTGGATAAAAGTTGTTTTATTGCATAAAGTATATAAACAGAAAATGTTAATCTTGTTTTAAAATGTAATGACAAGCTTTTTTGCCATTTGTATTTATACTTGAGATAACCATTATTTAAAGAGAAGTTGGATGTTACTTTCTAATATATAATATATCTGAGACACTACAGTCAGGCAAATTGCCCACTGTGACGACATAGGAATAGCCTGTACATTTTTCCTAGCTGTGAAAAAAAGTTGATCATTAAACAAGAATAAATATATATAAAAGATGTATCCTGCATGACTTATATTTTACAGTACAGTACACAGCAGCAGATGGTCTTTGATTTGTTTATAGTTCCGCTGACTGCAAAACTTTGTAATAAAGATGCTCTTTTATGTGTTTATTTTTTCCTGTTGATGTAATCTGGGCATATAGATGTTGTATTATTCTGCTTAGCTTTGAGTTTCGGGATTTTAATACAGATATTGTGATACACGACAGACAGGATTTCCCAGTTAAGTCAATTGAAACGATGGCAAATATGTATCGTACCGGATTTCATCTAACTGAATAAATTCAATCTTATGCAGTATCAAACTGCAGTATTTCATCTGAGAGGAATATATTCTCTTCTTTGGGAAAATATTTATGTAACTTTAAGAGGACTGCATGATAAAGCATTGGACTGGGTTACATTATGTGATTGGCTTACTGTCATACAACAATTCTCAGTGTGACTGATTAAATTTAGCAATGGACAAATGAGATGAAATGACTTACTAGGAAATTGTTTGGAATCTATAGATATCATTATATCAGAGATTTATCACTGTGACAGATAGAATTTATACACAGAACCTTTTATCGTATCAGAGATTTATTATATTTAACTGATAAGAGGATTTTAAAAAAGTATTTAGAGATTGATGTTCTACAGAAGTTAAAAAGGATACATAAGTGCTTAGAAGTTTGACAAATTATTTCGGTGCAAAAATGGAGCTGGGACGATTTCAGAATAAATGCTTATGTATAGCTATTTTCATGTTGGATCGTAACAATTTTATAAGGCATTTTTACACTCTTATGATATAATTTGGATATAATTAATGATATAAAATGTTTGCGTTTGAGTCTATGTTAAGAAAAAATCGTACTATTGTGACAACAAGTATTGAACATATTACAAAACACGAGGAGAAGTTGTTGAAGTTTTATGGTGGATCGCCACACCGGAGCCGTTTAATGAAATTATTTAAAGGTAGTTTATCTCTGCAGGTTTACAAGGTGGTTGTCAACAGTGGGGCAAAGTCGTGGTTCATTTTCCGACGATACAATGAGTTCCATACTTTATTTGAAAAGGTAAGTTTAATTTTTCATTTTTAAATATTTTTATTTACATGTAATACAGTAGAACATTGAAACCTTGATCCCCTGAAACCTCAAACACATAGGTCCAAAACATGAAACACCAGGTCCAGAAATCTTGAACATTATATTGTAATATAAACAAACCATTTAGGAAACCAAGTGAAACTTTACATTGCATTAAATTTTGTAGTCCCAATAATCATTCTGTAATGATCAAAGAATGATGGTTCTAGGGTTTTAAGTACTACTGCATAGTAAATAGCTATAGAAATAGTCTGGTTGATTGTCCAATTCTAATTTTAACTAGATAGCTGGTTGACTGACCATCAGGTTCTGAACCTATATTTAAACAAAAGCATTGATATTAAACAGTTCATATGACATGAAGTTGATGCAGTTTGTATAGAACTGCTTCACCAATTGTGAGATAATAGGAATAAAGGTCTTTTTTATGTATAATCCATCAGGTTCATTAAAAGTATTAAATTTTAGTTTGTAGAGTGCTGGGGTAAAGCATGATATTTCAGCTATAACTATGAAAGATTTAAGACAATTTACTGGGAAAGTATTGAAATAGGGCTATCATAGAAAAAGAAAGATCTGGGACCTCTTAATATTCATGTTTAGATAATATGAAAATTATTCAAGTTTTTCACTACTAGGTCTTGTATAATGATAGGGAAAAAAACTCAGAATATGCAAATTATGGTTGCTATAACTTGTAAAGTAGTAATGATGTTTGACAAATACAGTTAAGTTGATGAAATAATATAGGTATTTATATATTGTTAAGACTTTTAACAAAAATAATAAAAATTATACATTTGTTTGATTATTTTTTATATAATTATATGCAGCTAACACATTTGCCTGAAAAATGCAGTGGAGGGCACATTAAAGGTCTTCCTCAACAAGAAATGCTGGAAAATAGCCATATGTCTTTTTTGTGTTGATGTGACTTAACCAAAAAAGAAAAAAACAAAACAATATTGTTTTTCTTTTGTAAATATCCAATAAAATAATGTTACATATTTTATTAGAGATTAACATATTAAATGGACATGTTGTACAAGTTAAAACTTGAAAATCTAATTATTATCCGATTTTCTGAACACTACTTTAAAGAATTTGAAATACAGTGTATAGTTTTATATTTATTGTTTCTTAAATTGAATTATACTGAAGAAACACATTCATTAATCACCCATTTTAAGTCAATAAGAACATTGAAAATTCATAACAATCGGTTAAAGAAAATGTTGTTGGAATGTTCAAACATGTTCCAGAGTATTTTGGAGAAACAATGAGAAATGGTCACTGATACAAATTACAGGGACCATTTCATAACTCAAGTTCTAGAATTGTCCAAGACTTGTATTTCTTGAGCTTTGTTTGACGTGTGCTAGGACATCTTTCTAAAAATTTAAACCAAGAAAGGTTGTTGCACTTACTGAGGAAGCAAATCTAAATTATGTCTCTGACTCATCAAGTATTTTCATTAAAGAAGGCATTGATTTGTAAAAAGTTGTGTCAGTTATTATGAAAGTCAATGCACCTACTCAATATTATAAAAATGTTTAAGAAGAAGTTTAAATATGCATTATCAGATCTTTTGTAAATGTTGAAAAAAGTTTAAAGATTCTTTATTTGTTTTCTACATTTATAAAAAGATCTTATAATATTGCATGTTTCAACATTTTTTTCATCTAGAAAGGGGAGACAATTAGAATCAATGAAAACATAAAATGAAAGGCAAAAAAGGAAACCAGAGTCTGTTCATGAGGGTTAAGGGACCTTTCCAGTTTTTTGTAGCCGAACATTTAGCCACACCTTTTCCATTCATTGCTAGGTCAACTGCTCACAAACAGTATCAGAAACATAATCATGTGTTCAGGTCAACCATTGACTATGTATGAATCTCAGTGTAGCAATTGGATAAATTTACATAAAACTGTAAACACTGGAAAGATCCAGAAAAAAGTGCTTGCCCCTATAGCACTTGCTTAAGCAATATTTACTGTTTATTCTTAAACTATTGAACCTATATTCCAAAGGACCATAAAAAATACCAAAAATGAGATAAACTTTTTAGTTTTCTTTTGATTACACAGTACTGTTAGAAAGTCGAGCCTTCCTGGAAAAGATATACCAAGTTTAGTGACTATTTTTATAAACTTTCAAGAGAAGAAGTTGTTTAAATTATACTTTATGCTATTTATCACTGATAGCCAAAACTAGAATATGCTGACAACGATATTTGAACAATCTCGTGATTTGAAAAGCTTTTAATATTAAATTTGTTATCATTTCTGGTGTTTATTGGTGCTGTATTTTCTGCAGTTATAGACATAGAAAGGCTGCAGATATTGATTTCAATGTCAGATAATTAATATATCACTTTTCTAATTACTTTGTGAGCATTCCCCCAGTCTTAAAGTTAATTTAAGAAATGCTTGTCTTCCTTTTGCTATCCTGATTAAGGAACAGCATTTTGTAGTTTAAGTTTCTGTCAGCAATGAAGCCCATAACTAGATGACACCTGACAAATGTATCTTTGAGACTTTTCAAAATGACATAAGGATTGTAAAGTATTTTATTACATGCTGTTCTGTAGATTATTGAAACATCAAAATTAATTACATTTTTGATAATATCACTGTGAAGTTATCATATTATAAGTTTATAGCTGCAGAACTGTATAATTATATGAATGTGTTTGAAAAGCATATAATAATGAGCCGCGCCATGACAAAACCAACATAATGTGTTTGCGACCAGCATGGATCCAGACCAGCTTGTGCATCCACGCAATCTGATCTTGCTCCATGCTGCTCTCTTACAAACCCTATTACAAGTAGAGAAACTGATAGCGAACAGCAGTAATCCTGATTTGACTGCACGGATGTGCAGGCTGGTCGCAAATGCATTATGTTGGTTTTGTTATGGCGCGGCCTATATCATAAATGGAATGAAATTTCAGCAGAAAAACACAACATGGTAATTAGAAAATGTACAGAATTACAGTAACTGGAAGCACTTAAAACTAATTTTAACATTTTGTGTGTTTATTTGTCAAACCGAGATATTATAAAATGATTCATTTCAATGTTTTAAAAGCAAAATCTTTATTTATAGCAAAATTATACTCAAGTTTAACAAGCTATTTTAAGAATTAAAATTAACGTTTTGCAACCATCAAGTAATTTATAAAATTAAATGATTTTTAATGAATGTAAAATGTAGTACAGACACAGATTAAATATTTATGTAAAAAAAAATTGTGATTGATATAGCTTCTTTACTTTTCAACATATGCAATTTGAATAATCTGTTAACAGCTCTCTACATAAGAATATGCTTTTGGCAAATATACATTGTTAATGCATTTTTGCTTAAGGCCAGAGCTCTGTTCTTTGTGCTGAGTTGTTAAAAAGCAACCTTTTCATGTTATGTTAACTATTAATGGCAAGTTGACCTTGCCATTTGAAATATAATGTGTATTTTCAAACAAAACTTATAGCTTAAAGGTGGGAGTTTGATATTTACAAACTACAAATGTTGTTGCCAAGTCACCTGCCTGAATGGCAATAGGTTGAGATTTGTGTTTGCTACGATTTTACTTATTATAGTTTCTTTACCATACTTGGGTGTATGTTACAAAAAATTGCAAAATGGAGAAAATGATAAATAATTTTTGCACAGAACTGGTTCTTTCTTTCTGTCCTGCATTCTCCATCCATCACCATACTTCTTAACCTTTTACCCCATGAGCATAATTATTGTGAAAAATGGCCGTTTTCATTGAAAAGCCTCCTGTAACAAGTTCAAACTGCTATGAAACTATGGAAAATGCTTCAATACAGATGAAACTTGGCACAAATGTTGACTAGACCATAGCCTCTGTAACAGCATGCTCAATCGTAAATTTCCTGTTACCATGGCAACGCGGGGACGTCTCAAAATTGTCAAAAATCACTATTTTGCATTGTTTTTTTTTCCATCAAAACTGATTTCAAAGTGCTGCAACTTCTCAATGAATTGAGATTGAGTAAAAGGCTTTTCAGTGTCGGTTACTAGTTACCCTAAGATCGACCTGAGTCCATTTTTAGCCTGTCACATGTCCAAAATTTTCTTGGCGATGAGGGGGACTACCGCCCCTCTTCAAATCCCCCGAACAGAAGGGGGTACATCCCCCTTCTGGCAACCCCCTGATATAACATTAAGATGGGGGCGGCGCCGAAAAAGTGGTCACTTTTTTTAACAGCATTTCTCATTGGGGCCTAAATAGGGCATTTTTTCACTGTTTGAGGCCTCAAAAGGGGGGGGGGGAAGCCGTCAAAACACGTCTATATCAGGGAAAAGGTTAAGAAAGACTAGTAACGTTGTGCTTCTTGTGCCTAAAATAATGTAGAGAGAGGTACCTGAGGTCCCCCTCAATCAGTCAAGGTGGAAAGGCACATTTTGACATTTACAGGGTCAGTGAGACATAAAACTCAACCAATCACCCACATTTTGACACTTACCTAGATATTCTGACACCTTTGGACTAAAAAAGTTTGCCCTGTTTCTGTGGACTTCAGCCAAGATTTTATGGATTGGATGCCAAAGTTATCTGCTATATCACATATTGGTGTAGGTGTTTGAACAAATAATAAATCAAATAGCTAGTGTTAATTAACAATGAAAGGATGTTTCCTATCAAGTTTTTTTATAGTAGAGTTCCAAAAATATTTATGTAAGATAGCTATTATCGCATCTGTATATCATTGCTTATTCATATTGGTGCCCATCTTTATCAGAAATGTGTAAATTCATTCTTAATATTTGACAGCCTCCAAGACATAAGTCAATGATGCCATATCTGATAAACTGAATTCAGGGGAAGTAACTGTTTTATAAAATCAAGACTTTATCAGTCTGTACTGATCATAATGTTTAAAAAGAAACTAAAATATCATGGAATGTTTACCCAAATATGAAAATCTAGCTTG